CAAAATAGAAGACGACAAGGTCCGAAAAAAGAAAAGTTCGGCGTCGCCGCCTTACACTCACGCCAAGGATAACAATCCGCAACAAAGGCGCATTCGCCGTTAATTCCACTATGGCCCCGGGCCAATCACTCACTCAACTCCAATCATCGGACCTCATACCTGCACCGACGATCCCGACCGTCTCGTGCTAACTCCCACCACTGCGATCGTCACCCCGCTGTCGTAAATTCGACACGGTTCGCCCGGATCCCACAGTCCGTCGTGGCGATCAAGTGCGCAACCGGCCAGCCTATCGTCAGCCGGACAGGACTTTCCGACTCGCATCAATCCACTCTGCCTAGCCACTACTTCCCGGAAGCTGGCTTAGGAGTCGAGAACGTAAGAGAGATTTGCGGACGTGCTTGCGGGTTTTATAGTTGCGACAGGGGAGATAGAAGGGGGAGAAGGCGACAGGAAAGCTGAGGTGTAAGAGAAGAAGCAGGAGGAGAAGACTTTGAGAAGAGTGCTCTACGAACGCCATGCTGATCCCTGGAAACTCAAGGTTCAACCAATCAGATTCGTCGCGCGATAGGAAGGTCCAATCGATCTACGCGCCTGATTGGCGAGCGGGAGTTATCGGGGGATCGACCGGGCGTCGTACGCCAGACGTAGAGGGTGAGAAGAGAAAAGGCACGAGAGGTGGCGCAAGACGGGTCCAACATTCAGATGATCAAGAAAGGGAAATGGGCGCGCGAAAGCAAGGCGGGAGGGAGAGAGAGGAGAAGGAAAAACAATTACGGGGAGAGAGAAAAAGGAGGGAGAAGGGAAGGGAGGCGCGGGAGGGAGCGATGCGGGGGACAGAGAGGAGGAAGCTTTTGCATGCACGGCGCTGTCAACAAAAAAAAAGAAAAAGGCACCGAAACGGTTACAACTTGCTTCTATCCTAATTCAAAATTGAAATCACCATATCCGTGCGCGAAAAAGTGACGCGGGAAAAGAAAATCCTACGCCTATTCGTATTCACCCAAAATTCCGAGAGTTTTCCCCGACGCGCCCAAGAACATTCACACACCCAAAAAGGACACGTCGAAGTTTCGCTTATCCCTGAATTCCCAACTACCGAGCCCAATTCCCAGTGCGCTTGCTAAGGCGCACGTAAATTCCCATGTATTTCCCGACTTTGCAAGAAGAAAAACAGAACTCAGCAGTCGAAAAAACTCTCAAAAAGGAAAATGCGGCACCCGAAAGCAAGAACTCAAAACGGGGTTGGTATGATACAAATAAAAGAAAGGGTACGAAAGATGGCACGGGGTCGAGAAGTGGTTCGTCACATATGTGACGCGCAGGGGGTTCCAAAATTATGCGATCTCCTGATTGCATGTCATGGCGAAAAAGAAGAGGGGACAACAGAGTGATGCATGAGGAACCAAGCGTATCAACAGAGCAGAAAGAAGTACAAGGAACGATAACTGGGCCGCGGATGAGATGGCGACAACATCCGTGGCAAGATCTCTGTAGCCCTGTCATATGCAACCCTCTACCTCGTGGAGATCGTCCAGGTGACGCCATCATGGTCCACTTGATCTCCGTGTGCTCTGCACCCTTGCTCGTTGCCGTTTGTCGAATCAGCGCGTAGGTTGATGTTATCGTTGATGGCGTGATCTTCGCGAAGCTTACCGATTCGTGCCGATGAAGGGAGGAGAGAAAAAAAAGGGGGGGGCGTTCAAGTGAATGGGATCTACCGCCTGGTTGGAATAGGCCAGTAGAGGCGGTACATGCCGGGGATCTCGCGGGGATGAGGGGGGGGGAGTGGGAATAGGAAGCGATTCATCCCTTCCATCGTCACCGGGAGCTCCTCATATCGGATGATTCGGTGGAAGCGGGGGAAATGATCGCCACTGCGGGGGAGGGAGGCGAGGTAGTCGCGATAGAAGGAGGAGAGGGTACGGAAAAGCGCCGCTCGAAAGATCTCGAAGTGGTGGCAAGCGGGGATTGTCCCCGTGGTGATGCAGTAAACTTCTACCACGTTGCATTGCTCCCATGCAGCGCTGAACAGCAGGCGATGCCAGCAGAACATGGGAGCAGCGGACTGAAGGGAGGCATGGGGGTGGAATGTGGCAAGTAGACGGGTAGAGTAGAAGTCGCGGAAGAGATGGGGATGGAAAGGATGGGAAGGAAAGGTGACGGGGGTATGAATCTGCTCGAGGGTGAGAAAATCAAGGGGTCGGCGGGGCAGCGTCCGAGGTCGAAGGCCTATCGCCCGCATTGGTACGTGGGCGAACAAGGGGACGGGTGGGGCTAGAGGAGGAGGGGGATCGGCGCCATCTCTGTCGCGCGGTACTTGAGGTGGCGGCGGCTGCAGGGTCGCCATCTTCGGGCCTCGGCGGCTCTGGATCCCTGGTCAGATCGCTACCGATGCGCAGGCTAGCCTCGCAAGCGAACTCCAGCTGGCGCTTTCCGGAGGCAATCTGTTCGCGCTTTCGCGCCGCTTCCGGATCTTCCGCCTCCGTTCCCGTACGCGTCGCTTCCTCCGGCGGGGCTTCCCACTCGGACCCGGTTCCTTCTTCTTCCTCTTCCTCCTCACTCAACTCGCCCTTGCTATGTTCACTATAGCTTCCCTCCTCCGATGTTTCCTCGTCGTCGTCTTCTTCTTCTTCGTTGTCGTCGTCAATCACCACTTCTTCTGCCCTCGGGTAGAAGGCGTGAGGGATGATCTCGTACGGCTTCAGATACTCTTGCCGCGATGGTAGCGTATCCTCGTCCCTAGGTTCCTCCAAGCACAAAGTCCACTGAAGGTACGGATCCAAGGATTGCTCGAAAATGTACGGAGCAGGACTGTTGTCGCTCTGAAAGTAGATGTCGGGCGAGAGATCGCCCGCCAAGTGCACGATTGGTGCGATGAGCTCCTGTGCAATGAACTGACGACGACCCGGTCGTACCGATCCAAAGAGGAATCCAATAAGATCTCCTTCCTCGTTAGTCCTCCAACCCTGTATGATCAACGGCTCCGGATTCTCGATCCACGTGGGGTGCTCGATAGTGCCCGTCCACTTCACTTGTACTCGGGTTAGGCAGAAGGACAACTCCTCAAAAGTCTCGCGCCACAGCCGCCAATGTCCAGGATTGATAAGAGGGACTGAAAGAGGTTTGAACGAGAAGGAGAGAGAAGGGTGGAGATCGGATTGCCAGAAGGAGGGGAAGAGAGAGGGGAAAGGAAAGATAGAGAGAGGGGCGAGAAAATTGGCGTGGTTCATTGGGGATGGGGGAAGGGGACGAGGGTTGGGATCGCAACTGGCCGCTCCTGCAGTGATCGGCGAATGCCGTCAAGGTCCGATGCAAAGATCGGGATGATCTTATACCCCTCCCGGGCGAGGACATGCTGCCACACGTTGGACACTTGCCCCGTTCACTTGCGCAGCGAGGCCAAGATCACGGTATGCCGCTACGGATTGACCGAGCTGAAGTCGCCGGTGAATGCCGCCACTGTGGTGACGTGGCTTGTTTTGTGACCCGCTCGCCGATGAATTGCAGTAACCTCCGCGAACACTATCGCGTGAGGGCTTCCTTCTATCCAAAACACGGCGGCGGCACAGATACCTTCGTCGCAGAAGAATCGCATCAAACGGCGGAGATCCGTAATGAGCCGAGGGTGACAAACTTGCCGGATCTCTGAGATGTGGCCACGTGGCTGCCGCAGCTGTGCGTCGAGAACCCGCTCCRTGATGAAACTCATGGGGAGGTCGGAGACGAGGACGAGGGACAAGAGGGAGAAAGAGGAGAGAGGKTTAGATCGTCGTCGTTTTCCTCGCTTTCCGAGGAAGAAGAGGGAGGAAAATCGGAAGTAGGAAGGAGACGGAGGTAGGAGGTATGTCTGACGATGGGGACGGAGCTATGACTGGCGCTAGCCTCAGGCGCGATGCGCACCGTGTTAGCGCTGTTGGGTCCGAGTTCGACAACGTGAAAACAACCAGAGAACTTGGGAGCGAGTTTCCGGTCGCGTGCACATTTACGTACATGCACTAGGTCCCCCAATTTATACTGGTATTGGGACCCTATATTTCCATTCCGGGCCTCGTAGCTACGGACCTGTCTACCGTGGGCCAGCTCGGTCATCCTTTGCCTTTTTCGAGCTAGCCTCGGGACGGCCCGTTCCATCAAATCGGTGTACCTTTTGGCCTTGGCCTTGAGGGCTGCACGCGTCTCTACCCCCTGCTTCAGCAATTTCCGAGTTACCTCGGTAATCGACACAGGGGAGGCTATTAGTTCGAAGCTGAAAGGGGGTAAACCCCGTAGACTCGTGAGGGGTGGCCTAGTGGATGCCGACGAACTGATATACGATCTCGGGCCACGGACGCGTGTTGTGTGCCGCTAAGTTCCTGCGAAGGGCAGTTTTAATCATACGGTTGGCATTCTCGACCAACCCGTTCGACTGGGACACGTGGGGTGCCGTATGTCRGAGCGTGACGCCTCTTCGCGCAAGTAGTTCTTCTACCTCACCTTTAAATCCAGATCCATTGTCGGTTAGAATTTCTTCAGTATCTAGATTGGTATAGAGGAACCGTTCGATGTACATGGCTATTTGTGAGGCTTTTCGGGTCTTACAGGGATAGACCTCGATGTACTTGGAAAAATGATATATTAATACTAACAGGATAGAATATTCACTGCGGTTTGGGCCAGGTGGTACGTCAATATTTGTCGTGTCCATACTGACTCGCTGAAAAGGACGCTCTACTTCCGTTGGCACGATCATGTTTGGTCCCCGTATAGGGGCACGATAAGCGGCACAGACCAGACAGTTAGCGACAATGTATTTGACATCATCTCGTATATTGGACCAAAACCATCGATTCTGGTTTACAGTTGCCTCCGTGACACTTATCGTGAAATGAGCGGCCTGTTCCTCGTGAGCAGATCGGATCCAATTGTATCTCTGAAAGGGATGGGGAACTGTCAGCCACGAACCCGATTCGTCAGTTTTACGCTTTTCCAAATGACCGTTGATCCATTGATAGTCCCGAGATCTCTCGGTCGCCCTACGTCTGTCGTGTTTGGTGAGATGGCCCAATGATAATCCCGCTAATTTCGCCAATAAAATTTTATCCGGCCAGACTTGTGCCCGTCGGTATTTTTCGTCGTATTCAGGACCGTCCGTACGGGCGGCCTCGAATCGAACCTCCGTGGGGAGTTTGTTCATTCTACACAGGGGGCACCTCCATTCCTTGCTACCCGTTCGATATAGAACGCTGGCTCCGTGCGCACGATTGACACACGTGGCACATTCCACCCAATCAACAAATCCGGTCTCGAAGGGATGACAGTCGACCCTGTAAACCCGTGCAATACAGGTGCAAAAATAGCAGAACTTATCGGGGAGGGTGTCGAAGAAAGTTGAGGTAGTAAGAGGGGCAGAATTAGTAGGAGAAGAAGGGGTTGTGGAGGCAGGCGGGTTAGTCATGATGACAAAAGGGGAGAGACGGGACTAAATTGTGGAGAGAGTAGAGCAGGCAATTTCGTCCTCGTATCACTTACTGCTTCGACAAAATCTCCACTTGGCTGTATCGAGCTCCAATCTTCTGCTCGGGTTCGTTCCACGGAATCACCTCCTCATTCCTCGGAACTTTCTCTGGCCGGTGTAGTCGTGTCAATTCATCCACATTCCCATGTCTCTCGTGCTTCCGATGACGGATGTCAAAGTCCATGTTCTGCAGCACCGTTGCCCATCGCCCAATCATGCCCGAGTAATCCTTCGACTTCTTCAGAGCCAACAGGGGCTCATGATCAGTCACCAGGGTGAACTTTCGCCCATACAGGTAAGCACGAAAGTGACTGATTCCCCAGAGAGCCGCATAGCATTCTCCCGTCGGAGCGGCGTAAATGTGCTTGCAGGCAGGTACTGATTTGGACGCATACTCCACCACACTCTCGAGTCCGCTTGGTCCCACCTGGACAAGGATCGCCGAAATCGCCTCTGGCTGCCAGTCGGTGATGAGAACAAAAGGCTTTTCGGGATCTGGTCTTATAAGGACCGGAGCCGAAATGAGAGCAGCCTTGAGTTTGGAAAACGCTTGATCGCACTCCGGCGTCCAGATCAACGGATGATCCTTGCGCAGGAGATTTGTGAGGGGTCTCGCAATCGCTGCAAAGCCCTTGATAAATCTTCGGTAATACGAGGCTAGACCCAGAAAGGCGCGAACTTGCGTGATAGTGGTAGGCACTGGCGCGTCCCTGACAGCTGCCACCTTCTGCGGCTCCGGTTGGAGTCCCTTGTCTGTCACCACGTGCCCCAGGAAAGAAATGGTGGTGAGGAAAAACTGACACTTCTCAAGCGCCACCTTGAAACCTGCATCTCGTAACGCATGCAGTGCCCATTCGATGTGCTGCACGTGTCCCTCGTAGGAACTCGAATACACTAGGATGTCATCCATGTACACAATCACGCAGTAGTTGATGATGCTCTGTGCCAAACGAGTCTTCCGTACGAAATTCTGAAAAGCCATGTTCATGGTCCGCTGAAAAGTTGCAGGGGCATTGCAAATACCCATCGGACATTGAATCCATTGCCACGTGCCTTCGAAAAGCACAAACGCTGTTTTCGGTCGATCTTCCTCTTGGACAAAAAGATGATGGAATCCATGACGAACATCAAACTTGCTGAAAAATCGAGCACTCCCAATCGCATCCAATAACTCATCAATCCGGGGGAGGGGATACACATCTTTAATCGTGATATCATTCAGCTTTCGATAATCAATGCAAATGCGAATCCCCCCAACCTTTTTGGGTACTATCACTACAGGAAAAAACCAGAGTCCTTTAGCGGGTTCGATCCATCCATTAACTTCGAACTTCTTAATCCGCTGAAAGGCGGCCGCTCGTTCAGCTGGCGAGTATCGGTAGGGAGCGCAGCTAATGGGCGGATTATCTCTTGTGAGAATAACATGTTCAATTACATTAGTTAACCCAATATCATTGTCATGCACGCTCAACACTTCTGCATAACCATTCAATACACAGATTAACGACTTTCGAAGTTCCACGGGGACGTGACTCGGGAGGGGGATCGTCGATTCCCCGGACATATTCAGAGGCATATCGATCCAATCAACCGGTCGTTCCCGCCGCTCATGGACACTTGAGAAAACAGAACTACTGGTGCGAACAGAAAAGGAAGTTGCTATCATCTGGGACTCAGCGGGGCTGATCATCTCTGTTTCTTTAGTTTCGGCGTCAGTCTTTGAACCAACCGAAGTCGGTTCCACAGTTAGCCCTATTAGATCCGTCATTTCTTGCATTAGATTCGGCACGTCACTTACTGGTGCCTCCGCTTCTTGTTTAATCAAGGCGATGGTGGCTCCTGTCGTTAGTAATGATCGGGGTGGAAAAACAGAAACGTCCAAATACTATTCCGTTTGCTAATAACGCGTTTGTAAGGAAAGAGCTCCCTCGTACAAGGTGCGAGGGGGTTCCAAATCATTAGCCAAATCGGAAACTTGTAATAAAGGTTCCCCGAGCAGGACTGAAGGACTGACCTGGGTTGTTAGAGGTGTGAATGCACTGTCTTCAGAATCCACGTGGAAGCTTCGAGCGGTGTCGGGGCACACTTGAAATTCTTCGCGGGTTTCATGTTCGAAAAGTTCAACCAGATGCTTCCATTCCTCTTTACTGGGCATCTCTTCTTCGTATTCTCGTTCCCTGATTCCATCCCCGAGGCGCGAAGGGGAGCATTCCTTGGGATCAATGCCTCGGATCATCCCTATTTGGGGCGAGTTAAGAACCCGTTTTATCGTTCAGGTGGAAACCCGCAAAGCAACAGTCTGAGGCTTTCCCCCAGTTTGTGTGAGCACCAATTGTTTCGAATCGAAATGCAGACGTGCGCCCACCGCCATTGCCCAAGGTAATCCCAACAACACATAGTAGGAACGTACATCTATTACGAGTGCGTTAACAAGGACGTGTACTCGCTCGACCTTTACCGCCATGTTCTCGATAATGCCTACAATGTTCATTGCTTCCTCATCAGCAGAGACATAGTTGTCTTTGCTAGATTGAGGAAGAATGGATCCAAGTCGTCCCGTCCTTTTAACAGTCTCCAATGATATGGCCACTGCAGAAAACTCTGTGTCGATTAGGGCATTAAACGGCTTACCGCAAACTTCACAGTCACATTCCGCACTTTTTCATAGTACTGGCCGAGCTCGTACGAAGTGATCCTTTTCTGCTAAAGAGATGGCGGCTTTGCGTGCGGCTTCAGGTTTTTCAGTGTCCGGCTCAGGGGATACCACTTCCTCACCTTCTTCCTTCTTCTTCAACATCCGTTGTATGCGTTGATAGGTGAAACGCTTTTGATTTTTCTGGCAGTGTTGTAAAAGTTTATCGTTCGCCGCGTCAGATATGGTGAACAGATGCCCTACGGGGATAGGAACGCAGATGTCTAACTGCTTGAGCGTTCTCAGTACATCAATGTCTCCTGTCCGAAACTGCGGTCCTGGATTGGATTCGCGATCGACCCACTCGAGATGATCTGGGATCGATCGGATCGCTCCGATCATGCCTGGGAGATGGAGATACTCGAGAGGATCGACCACGTCAGCGGCCTCGGGGGAAGAAGCTCGCGATGTCGATGCCGTTGCCATCGAAGGGGAGGGCTGCTCTGTGGCATATGCCACGAGTTCTCCTCCTTGATTCGTATCCATCAGAGCGGCCACTCATCCTTGATTAAGGGCAACGGGGGCCGCAACAGGGGGAGGCTGATTACGTTTCGGCTGCGGACAGTCCCGGGCGAAATGCCCGGGCTGCTTGCAGTTAATGCATTCGATTTTCCCTGCTGGATTAGCTACATGAGGGAACAAAGGCGTGAACCCTAGAGCAGGCGGGGCAGGTAAGAGTGGAAACGATGCAGGGGCAGGCCGAGCAAGAGGTGGGTTAGGCTTAATGAGCCTGCTCATTATTTGTTCCATCCGTTCCATATGAGCGGAATACATTTGGATCAAGTTGCTCATCCATTCGGACTGCTTGGTAGCAGCCGTATGGATCATGTGGGCAAGGTGTAGATTAGTTACGGCCGGCGAGGGGGGTTCAGATGAAATTCCACTTCTAACGGCTGCGATCGATTGATTCACCGGGGGAGATGGAGGAGAAGCCGTCACGATATCGGAAACGATCCCGCCGGGAAGATCATGGTCGGGGCGGGGATAAAACCGTTCGACTGCTTGTAACCATGATCGCCTTTTGGCCGTTACATCCCGTATGGTATCTGTAATGTCCTCGTCTCCCTGGCTGATGTATTTTTTTGTATCAGCCAAGTCTAGCTCCAACGCTTTAGTAATCATAGTCGATAACTGGGTTGTTTTCGGCGGAACCTTTTTCTGCAGTTTCCCTTTCAAGGTCGGACTTCGAACGTGATCAATAAACAAATCTCGAGCAGATTTCTCGTCTCGCCCGGATTTATCCAGTGTGGTTTGAAATCGATCAACGAAATCGGGTAACAGTTCCCCTGATCCTTGGGGTCGATTTTTGAGTATGTACCAATCGGCATCTTCGCTAACCGTGTCCAATCGAGCCAAGAATGCATGCTTAAAAGTTTCCCAATCTACCCATGTATGCTTTCTGAACCAGTCGTGCGATATATTGCGGAGTAGTAAGGTCAGAACATGGGGAAGATCGGCTGCGCTGTAGTTTTGAGCTTCGACAGCTTTCAACCAAGCCTCGAGATGGGTATGGTTGGGGAAGAAGGGGAAGGGGGCAGGGATGCTAACGATCACCCTAGTACCGTCCACCATTGGTATTGCTAGCGCAGTCGCACTAGACTGAGACCTGGTCACGGGGCGATCTCGACGAGCTCGTGGAGGGTCTCTCCTACCTCTCGCCAGTTCGACTTACTATCATCAGAACCGACACGTGTCGGCTCCGATACCAACCACACGCCCTGTGCTATCTTCCGTTCGGAGTGTTAGCTGTGCGGAAAAGAGGCCCAGAAAAACAGCAAGATGGGGTGTGCCAAGGATTTTTGGAAATTGAGTGTGGGGACACAGACGAAACTGAAATCCCCAATGTTGGTCCGATGGAGCAAGTCGATCGTTTTCGCGCGTAACGGAATGCGCGCGCGGGCAAGGCGGGAAGAGAGGGAAAGATCCAAATTCAATCCAAAAAGTATTGTCGTGCCTCCCACCGGGCTACATCCCGTCGTTTAGAACAGAAAGGCTTGGGCACGTTTCGCGTGTCCCGTTTTCGTATTAAATCTCATCGTCGTCCGCTGGTTAGTTCCGAGTCTGACGTGGAGGGTCTCAGTCGCGTGGTTTTTTCTTTATGCTCGTCTTCACTCCGCACACGGTAGTGTAAACCCCTGGACTCGTAGCGCGCAAAACGCTAACATTCGGTGCACAAAGTGCGCGGCCAGTGGGGTTCTACTGCCGTCCACGGAATGACGATCAACTCATTAAATAACAACAATACCGAGTAAGGTGGGAAGTGCATATCGATAATAACAAACCCGGCTTCTACGAACCCAGAACAACGGTTGGCCGAAGGGAAGTAATACTGCCCGCCGATTTGTGCAACGGCTTCTCGTACGTCCCATTCACATACACGTGTCCTTTCCTCACTGTAAGGAAAAGGTCGCGTTGGGATGGGAGATACGGGAGGCTGGTGCCCAATCGAAGGGTACTTGTCAGTCCACATGTCAATCAATCACGAAATATCCTGAGACGTCATTCAGAACAAAAGCGATTCGCGCGTCCCCCAATCAATCTTTTTGACACAAGAGAGAGAGAGCAAACACAGATCAGCTTGATCACGCATATGGCTACGGGTCCGATCAATTCAACACAACGTTGGTCCCTGGGCGCCTTGTTTCTCAAAGCCGCCTCGTCTGTGTGTCCATTCAACTCGCAACGGGATTTATTCAACTCCGTTGAACCCGTTGAACGGCCATGAGGCCCGAGTTGAATCCCCGTTGAACGTTACAACGGAGGCTTCCCGTTGAAGTCCGATCAACAAGGTCGTGCCCAATGGGCCTCGGACACGTGGCAGGACACACGTGGAAAAAAAAAAGTGAGAAAAAAAAGTACAAAAACTACCCTCTGTGTATGTGTGTGTGTGTGTGTGTGTGTGTGTGTGTGTGTTCATGTGTGTGTGTGTGT